AAGGCCATAGGAAGTCTGTTGCTAGTGGGCTTCCAGGTTGAGTTAGATGTGTTGCCTCACCCATCCCCTCTGGAGCTTCCACAGTTAGGTGTGTTGCCTCACCCATTCCCTCTGGAGCTTCCACAAGAGGTACTCTTTCAATGCTTATTTGCCCAGGCTTCACTGGTATCTAGCAAGATCTGGCAGCTTGGTGAGACAACTTTTAAAGGCTGAGCTACTACAGAGTAGGCCCTCTAAGCCAGTAATATCTGGGTCCTTTCTGACCTGTCATGCTTGGGATTCAGGTTCCGCTCTGGTGCACCCTTTTAGAGCACTTGGGAAGAATTCGGAATTGCTTGTGGTCTCTGATAAAGCAGATATGGCCACGTGGCAGAAGGGAAGCCTCTCCTTGCACTGGGCAAGTAGACTGAGCACTGTGACAGCAACTGAAGCCAATCATACCAGGTATGTGTGGATACTCCAGGGACATATTGGAAGGTATTCTAACTTGGTTGGAACTGAAACTGAGTCCACTTTTAAAGATATTGTTGCATTTCCTGTGCCTCCTTCCTCTCCAGCAAACAGTATTGTCTTGACTACCATGGTGAGCCATTAGCCTTTCTGCTGACGAGATTCCACTTAGGTTTCCTACACTGTAGATGAGAATTTTTACTTTGCCAGCATTGTTGACCTTATCAGTGATGAGCTTGATCCCTTTCATTGTCCTTTGCCCTTGCAGACTATCCTGCCTGGCCTCATGTCTGACCCTGCTGAAGCACTGTGTGCTCATGTACAGTGTATTGCCCTCCTTCCATGCCATCATCAAACCCCACCAAGCCCTCCTGACAGAGCATCTTGTGAACTGTAGCCTCCCTCAAGACCTTCAGGTGAGCCTTACTGGCAACTAGGCACCTTTTTCTGGTCTCCGACTGTTTGGGAGCTGGCCCCCAAACAGGGGTCTTTTTTGTCATTGAAGTTGCAGCTTAAAAGTCATCACTTTTAAGCTTCAAAATCATAAATGTGGGCTGGAGAGATGGCTCAGGGTCTTCCAGAGGTCCTGAGTTCAATTCCCAGCAACCACATGGTGGCCCCACAACCATCTGTAATGAGATCTAGTGCCCTCTTCTGGCATTCATGCATATAGACAGAATACTGTATACATAATAAATAAATAAATCTTTTTAAAAACATCATAAATGCAAATGAAAAATAAAATTACATTAAGAGTCTATAGTGAAGGAAGGAAGGAAGGAAAGAAGGAAGAGAAGGAAGCCAGGCAGTGGTGGCGCACTCCTTTAATCCCAGCACTTGGGAGGCAGAGACAGGTAGATCTCTGTGAGTTAGAGGCCAGTCTTGTCTACATAGCAAGTTCCAGGACAGTCAGGGCTGTTACACAAAGAAACCTTGTCTTGAGAAAAAAGAGGCTTCCTAGCCCCACTCTGGTTTCAGGCCATCCAAAGCACCTTATCCCACAGTGTCTGAGGGTGGCTCCTTCATCCTGTAGCATGATAAGCTCTGAGAGGCATCCTTACTTGGCCATTAGAACTCCATGTATCTAAACAAGGCTTTTGATGCCATAGCATATCTAGCAACTCTTCCATTCATTGCTCAGGCTCTTCCACATACATCTCCCTCCCCCATCTTTGTGTCCCCCACTCTTCTCCCTCACTATTTTGTGCCCCTTGGTTCTTCCTGCCCCCATCCTCCTCCTCTAAGTCATCAGTCATCCACATGCCAGCCCAGGTTCCTCAGAGCAGAAGGCATAGAATCACCTCCATACCCAACACCCAGTGGCATCTGCATTCACAATAAAAGACAGAAGCTCAGGCTACAATACACGCCAGGGTAACTTTCCCCTGTGCTCTCTACCACCTGTACTCTGGGCTTCTCACAGGCATTTTCTCCATTTTGGTGATGTCCACATTTGCTCTTTTTCTGCCTGGAATTCTCAGCTGTGTGACTCTCCACCACTCCATACCAAGCCTTCCCTGGCCACTGCCCAGAGTTTTGTGTGCTGTTTGTCCATTGTGCTGATCATTCCTGTGCACAGTATACCCTCATCTCTTGCCATTGATGTGCCACTTGAAGGCCTGGCTTTCCTAATTACTAAAGTTCTAGAGACTAGAGCAAGCCATCCCTTGATTATACTGACACTCATGTTCTCCACACACTGCAGATCACCTAGGTAGGGAAGGTAGTTTTGTGTGGTTTAATCAGAATTGGGCTGATGGTGTTTTGCCACTGTCTTCCTGGTAGAAAGGCCATCTGCTACTCTCTAGATACAAACCCTTACATTTATAACTTTCTCACTGGGGGTAGAAGTGTTCCTGCATTGGCACATGTATAGAGGTCAGAGGGCAATGCCTTTAAAATTTAGTTTCTAGGAAATGAACTCCAGCTTGGTGGCAGGAGGCCTTATCTGCTGAACCATTTCACTAGCCCACCTCAGTTTTGTTTGGTGGGGGGAGGAAGGGCTGGTCAAGACAAGGTTTCTCTGTATAGCCCTGGCTTTCCTGGAACTTACTCTATAGACCAAGCTGGCCTTGAACTCAGAAATCCACCTGTCTCTGTCTCCCAATTGCTGGGATTAAAGGTGTGCACCACCACCCCTGGCCCAACTGCGTTTGTAAGGAATCATTATCCCATGTGGTTCCCTGTGTGGTGGCTCAGCCAAGCTGCACCAAGCAGTGGCAAGTGGGGCCTCTATGAGGACCTCTGAAGGCATGCTGTCAATGTCTGTCACAGCACCTGCTATTACCATGTTCTTCAGGAGCTGTCTCGAAGCATACTGTCAGAAATGGAAAGCCAAAAACAGCACTGCCAGCCACTGATATGTGAGAAGAGCAAGCCAGTCCCGCTAAAGCTGTTCACCCCCCAGCTAGTCAAAGTGTAAGTGTTGGTTGCCCTGAGGAAGCCTGGACTGTGTGTGGGCTGGAGGTGAGCAGTGCTTCTGCTTCACTTGGGCAGGCTGGGCTCTCAACTCCATAGCCTTGTTGACTCTCTAACTGTAGGCTTGAGTTTGGACGGAAACAAGGCAGCACTAAGGAAGAGCAGGAAAGGAAAAGACTAATCCACAAACACAAGCGGGAATTTAAAGGTGCTGTCCGGGAGATCCGAAAGGACAATCAGTTCCTGGCCAGGATGCAGCTCTCAGAAATCATGGAACGGTGAGGAAGGACTGTGTGTATGGGTGACACTACACTTAGGCAACTGTTTTTTCTAAGCACTGGTATCTGGCAGCCTTGGCAAGGCTGAGGGTTGAGCTGAGTGTTATGGTTCTGAACTGTTAGTGTTCAAACAGAACAGCACCAAGATACCGTGAAAACTGATGCAAAAATGACATTTGCTTTTTTTTTCTTTAGGGATGCGGAAAGAAAGCGCAAAGTAAAGCAGCTTTTTAACAGCTTGGCCACACAAGAAGGTGAATGGAAGGCTCTGAAGAGGAAAAAATTCAAAAAATAAATGGTTTTGTAAATGTAGCAAGGGTGCATTGTGTGTTGTAATGATGGGTTCTGGAGGGAAACTGGAGTGTCTGATCCTGTCTCCCCTGCCATGCCTCAGTGCTTGTTATGACAGCCTCCATTGTCAGGTGATGGTGGCACGTGCCTAATCCCAGCACTCAGCGCTCAGGAGGCAGAGGCAGGCGGGTCTACAAAGCCTCTTTGTTCCAGGACAGCTAGAGATGTTACAAAGAGAAACCTTGTCAATTAAAACAAACAAAAAAGGCCTCCAATGACAGAGTGAGCTCAGAAGTAGAAGTACTGTTGAGAGTTCTTCACTGTTAGATGATAGCCACACTGTGGAATGAATTTTTTTTTTTTTTTTTTTTTTTTTTTTTGCAATCCTATAAAACTATGACAAGCTATGATAGTTTGGGTAAGTATACCATATAATATTTTTATAACCAAGTCTCCTCCCTGCACACTTCTGAGACCATCTCATCACACATGATAGTACATGATATAACAGTTGGTGCTGCTGGTTAGGAATTTTGACTTGGATCCACCATTAGAGCACTGCATGGACAACTGTGGGTGCCCTGGAGCTCAGATGAGCTGGTCAAGAACAACCTTGGCTTGCAGAGGATACATCATACCAAATGTACTCACCTTATCACTTCCCTAAGGATTCTCCAGAGCCCAAGGCTGCATGGCTATGAATCTAGAATGGCCTGGGGCCTGACAGCCACTAGCTAGGCACCTTGCTGCAGCTATCATCCAGTCTCAGGGGACCCTCTATTTTAAATTAGCCACAGAGTCCTGCCATCTACATACCCAACTGCATCAAGAAGCAGCAGGGCCAAATCTGGTACTGAGTAGCAGAGGACTTGGTATTAAACTTATGATGGTGGGACATGCCAACAAAAAGCTCAGAGGCCCAGCCTTTGTCCTGTGTCATCAGAAGGGGAACCTAATACAGTTAGAAGAGGCTGTTACTCAAGTGCATTCTAGTGTGTCCTCTGCCAACGTGGGCTGCAAGAGGATAATAGCATTGGGGGGACACGACTTTAATGTTTTCTCTATCTGAAAGTTTAGTTTTTTATTTGGGAGTTTGGAAACAGGGTCTCAACATGCACCGCTCTGGCTGTTCTCAAATTTTGTAGTTGGTTGAGGGTGACTTTGAATCCTGGTCTTTCTGTCTCCACCATGCCCAGCTCCAGCATGGTTTAGAGTAAGCAAGAACAGGAATTCAGTCAGCCATGGCCACATAGACCCTGACTCAAAAGAGAGATACAGAAGTGCCAAGGAGACAGAACCGGGCAGACAAGTCATCTCTTAGATACATTAACTCTCCAGAACTTCGCCGTAGGCTTTCTAATACCTCTGAAGGCCCAAGGAGCCGCCTACACTTGTCTGCTGGGAGGATCCAAGCTAGTTCCCGCCGCCTGGCCTCCCGGAAGAGGAGGGGCCTGCTCCAAAGCCTCCGGGGCGTGGCCGCTATCCAGGGAACGTCCCTGTCCATCTACTTGTGGGTCTCGGTCGGGAGCTGCGGCAGGTGTGCTCAGGTCCCAGGTGGGTGGGCAAGAAGGAAGGGTTTGGATGTCACATGGAGAAACCAAAGTGGTGCCCGGAACAGGTGCTCTGGCGTCCACAACCCCCACCAGGGTTTCCCCCATCTTCCTGCTACTCACCTTGCAATAGAGGAACCTGATAGCTACCGCTCTGACCCTGGGTTAGTAAGGGAGTGGAGCCTTGCAGGGTGCGCCAGGACCCCTTTGGAAGCACTTCCGTATTGTCTGGCAAGAACCTGGAAATTTGAGTTTTTCAAGTGGAAGGTAAACGGGGGCTTTCAATCCAGCGGCATCTTCACCACACCCTCCCTACCCCAACAGGGTCGGAGCTTCCACCATGGGATGGGCAGGGGATACAGGCTGCACGCCGCGTCCGCCTATACGACCTCGGCCTGTGTCCGAGCGCCGCGTGGTCACCGTGATCTTCCTCGGCCTGCTACTCGACCTCCTGGCCTTCACGCTGTTGCTACCTCTGCTGCCAGGACTCCTGGAGAACCATGGGCGCGAACAAGTGAGCCCCTCCCCCAAGGCGGGAGCACTTCCCCTGCTCAGCGTGCCAGACTCACCCAGCTGGAGTTGTTTTCCTTATCCAGGACCCCCTCTATGGCTCCTGGCAGCGCGGGGTAGACTGGTTTGCCACAGTCATCGGGATGCCAGCCGAGAAAAGGTACAACAGTGTCCTGTTTGGAGGTATGTCCCTGCGTGCCAGACTGGGGCCCACAACCCTTTCTCGGAGAGCTAGTTCCTTCTGAGCTGTTGGTCAATCCTCCCCTCCACCCTGGGTTCTTGCCAGTCTGGTTCTTTCCTGCAGAGCCTCCTTTGACTAGCAGGTCTGTTTTTTTTTGTTTTGTTTTGTTGTTGTTGTTGTTGTTTTCATTGAGGCCACCTGAGCTTCAGTTCATGGCCTGTGAGTGTAAGACTCGTTGTGGTCTACACTCTAGGATATCGATCCACATAGCTAAAGCCATCAGTGAAGATGACCTCTGTCTCTCAGGTCTCATTGGCTCAGCCTTCTCCCTCCTTCAGTTCTTCTCTGCACCACTCACCGGAGCTGCCTCTGATTGCCTGGGGAGGCGCCCAGTAATGTTGCTGTGCCTGGTAAGTCCCTGGATCCAGGTGCCCACAGAGAGAAGAGAACCAGCTGTGGGCTCCTCTGCCAGCAGTAGGCTCTGAACCCTTCTAGAGAGACCTCTGATTTGGTGTTATATACCAAGCTAAATATACCTAAGGAAGGCAAGGGATACAAGTGGCCCGGGTCTGAGGATGTTATATGTGTTTATCTGCTTTACTGTGGGCCTTTCCTGGCCTAAGTGACCATTCCTGCCACTTGGCCTCCACCCATTGGCAGACAGGTATGGCCATTTCCTATGCAGTATGGGCTGCCTCTCGGAGCTTTAAAGCCTTCTTGGCCTCCCGGGTGATAGGAGGCATCAGCAAGGGGAATGTTAGCCTCTCCACAGCCATCGTCGCTGACCTGGGCTCACCTCCAACCCGCAGCCAAGGCATGGTGAGTGAACAGACAGACCAAGGGAACAATGATGATGTCTGGGCTTGGGTCTCTGTGCTCATCTCAAGTCATCTTTTCCCTAGGCAGTCATCGGAGTAGCCTTCTCCCTGGCCTTTACTGTGGGCCCCATGCTCGGAGCATTCTTGTCTGTAGAAATGGTACCCTGGATCAGCTTACTCTTTGCGGTCTCTGACATGCTGTTCATCTTCTGCTTCTTGCCAGAGACACTGCCCCAGGAGAAACGTGTAGGTCCGGTTCCAGGGTTGAGGGCTCCCTCTGTATGTATGAAGGGATTTCTTTTATTTGTGCCAATGCCAAGGAAATTGGCCTGGCCTCAAGCTGCTAGCATTGCAGCACCTGTAGGTTCCCTGGATCTTTGTCCCTAGGCAAACCTAGGTCTCAAAGGTTTGCCTTCCTGCAGTGTGAGGTGATCATCCTAGCCCTTAGGCTGCTAGGTCATGTGCTCCCTGGCCAACCTTCACTTTCTCCCACAGGCTCCCTCTGTCACCCTGGGCTTCCATGCTGCTGCCAACCTGCTCAGCCCCCTGGCCCTGCTTCATTTTGCAGCTGTCACCCACCATCAGGATCCGCCTGCTGAGGACAGTAAGGAGGCTACCCCTTATTGAGCTTAGTGTTTGAACTACACAGCATGAACAAAGATCAACCTGTGGTCTGTGTTGATTTTCAGGACTCAGAAGCCTACGTCGATTGGGTCTTGTCTATTTCCTCTACCTCTTCCTGTTCTCAGGCCTAGAATACACACTCAGCTTCCTTGTACACCAGCGCTTCCAGTTCAGCAGGTAGGTGCCCATGTTAGGTTCTGCTTTAAGGCTGTCAGACCCCAGATCTAGGAAGCCTTTGTAGCACAGGCACTAGCATCCTGGCCTTGCCCATCCCCCAGGCAGTTGGTGGCCTAGGGGGCTGGGTGCTCACCCTCCACCTCCTAGCCTGCAGCAGGGCAAGATGTTTTTCTTCATCGGCCTCACCATGGCCACCATACAGGGCACCTACGCCCGACGGATCAGCCCTGGCAAGGAAGTTGCAGCTGTGAAGCAGGTAAGGGACTTAACTTCCTCCAAAGTTTAGGACAGGTGGTGCTCTTGACTCTGGTAGGCTGTGGAACTGGTCTTGAGGTTTCTGTTTTCCCCAGGCAATGTTGCTCCTAGTGCCAGCCTTTCTCTTCATTGGTTGGGGACACTCACTGCCCATGTTGGGCTTGGGGCTGCTGCTCTATTCCTTCGGTGAGTGGGACCTGCCAGGGCTGGTGTGGACATCCCCATGCCTCTCCTGGGCTGACAGGTGCCTCTTAATATTCTTCCGCCAGCCGCTGCTGTTGTGGTGCCCGGTCTGTCCACTTTGGTCTCCAGCTATGGTGAGAGTCCTCCCCCAAAGGCTACTCAGGGTAGGAGAGGGCCAGTTGGCATCTGACAGTCTTCTCCCCTCAGGTTCTCCAGGTCAAAAAGGCACAATCATGGGCATACTGCGGAGCCTCGGTGCCCTAGGTAGGGCATTGGGACCCATGGTGGCTGCCTCAGGTAAGTACTGCAGGATAGCACCCCAGGCTTGCTGTGTCCCTCTTGCAACCACTCCCAGCTGCCTTCACTGCTCAATCCTGGCAGCTGAGGGGAACAGGGGCAGGGACAGGGCTATGAAAAGCCTGGGTGAGCACTTATCTCTCCACAGTGTACTGGCTGGCTGGAGCCCGGGTCTGCTTCACTGTGTGCGCTGGACTCTTTTTACTCCCCTTCTTTCTCCTGCGGAACCTGAGGCATCCAGCACAGACTTTCAAGGAGGAGTAGCTGAGCTACCACACTCTGGATGCCAAGTGGAAACCTGGGCCAGAACCATCCTAGCCCACTCCTTCCTCCAGGTCCAGGAAGGCTTGCCATACCCCCACACTCCCCTGTATGGCATCCCAGCAGGAAGCCTGGGCAGCTATACCCTTTTTTCTTACTCCAAAGCCTTTTAGGCTTCTGATTGTTTATATCTGTCATCCTTCTGAATCACCAATAAAGCAGCTATTTTGTACCAAGTACCTTTCTTTCCGTCTTACTATTCTTTGACAGTTTCGTACTAAATGTTATCTGATACTATATATACCCCATTGGACTCTTGATGAACCTCTTTCCAACAACACCCCCTTTTCACTTTGGTGGCCTCACTGGAATTTAATTACTGTGGGTATGGTGTGGTGTTACATACTAGAACATGGGCCACATTACAGAAGAAAATGACTTCTCCCTCCAGCAACCTTAACTTCCAGTGGCTCATCTTTAGGGGAGGGTGAGGCCTACCAAGATCCTTCCCCATCAGTAAATGGAATGTCACCAGACTCAAATTTTATTACATGCCCTTCTGCACCAGAAAAAAGCAGTTGTAAGTCCAAGGTAAAAAGGACTCCAGCAGTTCATATCTATTGGTGACATCTGATTAAGAAATAAAGACTTGGGCTAGAAAAATGGCTCAGTGATTAAGAGCACTGCACTTCCAGAGGTCCCAGGTTCAATTCCCAGCATCCACATGGCAGCTCACAACTGTCTGTAACTCAAGTTCCAGGGGTTCTGACACCCTCACACAGACAATGCAGGAAAAACACCAATGCACATAAAAATAAATCTTTTAAAAAATAAAGAAAAATAAAGTTTCTCAGTTCTTAACACAAGACAAACTCTTAGAAAGCCTATTTTAGAGCAAGTGGATAAGGAGGGCATCTGTCACCAAGCCTAATGACCTAAGGTTGATCCCCAGAACCCACATGGTAGACAACACACGTGCTCAGGTTTTCCTCTGACCTCCATGCACACAACATAGAACACACATGCCTAGACACACACACATAGATACATACAGCTAAATAAAGTACGGGAACAAAGACATCAAGGTATAAAACTGCCTCCCAACCTTAGACAAGGAAACTGCTTAAAGACTTTTATTTGTGAGTAAAACCTGTTACAATGAGGAAAGGACACACAGGACCCGTCCTCCAAGTCTATCCATATATGCAATGGTATTCCATGTGTAATACAAAGAATTAGACTAGAAAAGTGGGAGGTCATTGCATATGTGGGATAAAAGAAGGAGCAGGAGGGAGGATGAGTGAAATCAGGACTAGGGTGAGAACATCATACCACCTTGGTGACAGTGAGACAAGCATTGCAGCAGGTGTGGGGTCCTGCTTGGTGCCTAGTCGGGAGGATCACATGGCTCAGTCCATACCCTAGCACCTGCTCTACAGAGGCCCAACCCCACCAGGGGTGTCTAGGGCTCTAGCAGGCTTCCTCACTCCTAATCAGGCTGGCAGTGGCAGCTCCCTGAAAAGGGCTCCTCCCCCTTAAGGATTCTACCTGACCACTCTGCATTTCCCACTAAGCAGTTTCAAGCCCTTTTCCAGGGATGAAAGTAAAAATTCACAATAGGATGGATCAAGAAAGTCATGGGCTCCATGAATGATGCAAAACGTTAATAAGTTGGCACCTCCAAGGCAGGCTTCTACCATGAGTGACCTTTTATCAAAGTCAGGGCATCTCTCAGACTGAGTTAAGATCCCTGTTTCATTACAAAACCTTCCCACACAAGTCAAGTGTTCTGCAGTCTGTCACAGGCTCTACAACAAAAACTAAAGCAAAAAGTGGCCTGTTCAAATTCACAGTCAAAATATAGGCTAAATTGCAAACCCACTGAAAGAAAGTTCTAGAAAGGACTCTTCCCCCTCCTGGTATCTGTTCCCTATGATGGGAATCCAAGACTCCAGTAAGATAAACTATGAACGCCTGAATCTGGTTTTGGTCATGGGGTCACCAGTTAGACCATGCATAGCATTGTGCTGGGTGTACACAGGGTCGCTCACTGCTAGAGCAGCAGGCTCAAACTTTAAGGCAGCCACAGTGCCCTGGGCTGCTGATGGGCATGAGAGTGTTTTCTCAGACCATGCTGGATTCCCTGTGTATGGGGATAACTGACATCACCGAGCAGAGGATGCCAGCAGAAGCCAAATCAGCCACCTGAGACTCCACAGGGTGGAGGGAAACCAAGCAGACAATTCAATATTCACAACAGAAGGAGAGAGAGCGGCAAGGCTCAGGAGGGTGACGCTGTAACCAGAGCTGGCAGAAGCCTCTGATGCCTTCCAGCCAGGACCAGGATTCAGTGTCCCCCTCCTGCAGGGGGGGCACAACTCAGAGGTGCAGGCTAAGCCCATTTCCCCACAGAACCCAAGGCCCAGGGTAGGGGGGTTGAGCACACACTCATCACTGGTGAAGGGGATGACCACACATGGGAGGAGGCTCAAGTTACATGGAGGTCTTGGCTTTTTGCATTCCATTACACAAGAGGACAGAATATATGATGAGAAAGGGAATCCTGGCAGAGCCAGGTCATTAGACATGACAGTGTGCAGGGTGGGTCTTCAGGAGTCACTCTTCTTCTTGCTCTTCTTCAGGAAGGAAGGGGTGCGGAACTTCTTCTTCTTTTTGGATGGGGACTTGCCTGGAGACCCATCGCTGCCAGCATCCATAGGAGACCCCTCCTCAGTGGCAGGGGAGGCTACCTCTTCAGCCCCTGGAGCTGAAGCTGAGGCTGGCTCAGGGTCAGCCTCAGCAAGGGGCTGAGTGGGCTCTGGGGAACCATGGGCTTCCTCCTCCACTGCTGGGAAGCCAAGTGCTTCTGAAGGCTCATCAGGGGAGAGGTCAGGGAGAGTTGGCTTGAAGGTGGTGGCATCACTGTCATCCCCAGATGTCGGTTCCTGGGGAGGGTCTGATGGTGATGGTGAGAGAGATGGGTTAAAATCTGGACAGAGCAGCTGGAAATAATAGCACTGGCCAGAGCTGCCAACTTGTGGCAGTTTCTACATATTCCCTAGACCAGAAACTTGACACATGGTGTACTCTACTGTATAGCTGGATATAGCACATGTTATAAAACCTCCCAATCTCAGAAGGGTTCTAGTACCTTTTCATGAAGAACTTACTGTCAAAACCAGACTGACAGGGCCAGAGCTATGGGCTGTCATTTCTGCACACAGACCCCATCAGGACATATCACTCTTGGTCCTGTGTCCAGGACCTAAGTCTAAATTTTGTTCTACAACATTCAGTCTCCCCCAAGGCAGCCAGTAGAAAACCAGGAATCAACTATCAGATCCCATATGCAATAAAATAAAACTATAGTTAGCTACAAAATAACTGTAAGGCAAGCTGCCTTCACAACCTGAACAGCTAAACATAAGGAGTAAAATGTAGCAGAGGGCAAGTTTCCATCTAGGGCACAACACCTTTCTACACTGACCAGGGGACACCAGTAGTGTAGACATTTAGTCTGTAAAATGATAAGCAATTGGCATGTTAGGTAACACCAAACAATTTAGTACTTAAAAATCAAGCCAAAGATCAGGGCCAAGAGCAGCCGAGCTAAGCATGGGTTAGGAGAAGCCTGGCCACCAAAGGCTCCAGGCCTCAAACATGAGTGCTTAAGCTTGGGAGACTGGAGACAGATGCCCCCAGAGAGTACCCTGATGGCTAGCCCCTGACCCAGAATAATTGGCAAAGAATGGGCTGCAGGCCCATAGGCTCCACACAACCCAGCACTGGGACTCTCTCCACCAAGATCACCACAGAACAACTATCACTCCAGCCCACTATGCTGCCAGTCCCAACTTAAGCACAGGTCCAAAAAAGCCTCCAAAAACAGAGTGGCAGAATCCACCCTGTCAGAACCCAATTCACATTTACTACTGAACCCTTATGGCAAAAGCTCCCCGGCCAAGCAATCAAGAAATATTCTTAAAGGTTAAGAAAAAGAAAGCTAAGAACTTTCTGTAGCCCAGGGTATTCTGGGCAGCACTGTGATAGGGGCCAGGAGCATCCTGGGAAGCTGATGCCACTTTTCAGCAGTCTAGTGACCAAGGAGGCCACTGAGAAACTGAGCATATTAATAAGGTCCTCTGTTTTTATTTTGGGTATACAGAAAACATAAGCAACAGAGAAGCAGGAAAGCAAGGCACAGCGCAAGCACCTGGTTAGAGCAGAGGCAGGCGCAGGTACTTACTAGGGTAACAGGTACTCTTTAGCACATCCGTCTCCTGCTGTAAGGCGGCCACAAGAAAGAAAGCACAAGTAGAGAATCTATGCATTCAGTCACAGCCATTGGGTTACATAAGAAGAAAGGCCAAGCCACTCTTATAGACCACAGACACTGGGATGAGGGGAGCCAGGAGACACAGACATACACGGGAGACTAAGGGACACACGTGTCACGTGTCAAACCACACAACACATACATGCGTTGAGAGGCAGACTCTCAGAGTCTGAGAGGCAGAGAGGGCACATACAGCACTCCCAGGGAACTCATTAATGCAGCAGGTCTAGAGTCCTGCAGTCTCCACACAATTGAAGGCACCAAGGGGTCACCAGACTCCTGTCAATGCTGGGAAATGTGCAGGCAAGGGCAAAACTGACATGACAAGATGGTAGGGACACTCCCTGAAGTTGGCCCTCCCCCACTCACAACAGCTCAAAAACTTGACTCAGGTTTCCCAGGAAATGGAATGACTGCCACATTCCATTACCAGTGCACACAGGCCATGCCCCCTTTCACAGCAGGGCTGATGCCAGGCCTCCCAACAGGACTCACCTTCTTCCAGCTTGACAGGAGTGCTGGGAGGAGTGCTGGGGACAGCTGACTGGCCTGGGGGACACTTTTCTTTCTGCTCCCTTGTCTCGTCCAGATTATCTACAGATGGAAACAGTGAGCACAGGGCACAGTGATGCAATTCAGGATCTATCCCCTTCCTCAGTAGCACAGCAGCCAGCCAACCCACCCCTTCAGGCTGCACCTCACGAGTCAGCTAGGTCCCCAGCCTGGAATCTGCTCTCCTCCTCCTCCTCCTCCTCCTCCTCCTCCTCCTCCTCCTCTTCCTCCTCCTCCTCCTCCTCCTCCTCCTCCTCCTCCTCCTCCTCCTCCTCCTCCTCCTCCTCCTCCTCCTCCTCCTCCTCCTCCTCCTCCTCCTCCTCCTCCTCCTCCTCCTCCTCCTCCTCCGCT